AGAAATGAGATATTGGAAGAGGCTCACTCTACTCCGTATTCGGCACATCCAGGTGGTACGAAAATGTATCGAGATCTCCGAGACACATTTTGGTGGAGAAACATGAAGAGGGGAATTGGTCTATTTGTTGAAAAATGTATTATCTGTCAGCAGGTTAAGGCGGAACATCAAAGGCCATCAAGACTGTTGAAACCATTGGATATTCCAGAATGGAAATGGGAACACATAGCGATGGACTTCATAGTAGGTCTTCCGAAATCAGTAAGAGGTCATAATGCTATTTGGGTAGTGGTTGATCGTTTGACGAAATCAGCCCATTTTCTGCCAATCAAAGTAAATTTCAGTATGGAACAGCTTGCACAATTATACATTAGGGAAATAATCAGTTTGCATGGAGTTCTTGTCACCATTGTTTTAGATAGAGACCCGAGGTTCACATCAAAATTTTGGAATAGCTTTCAGGTTGCTATGGGGACAAAATTGAAGTTTAGTACTGCTTATCATCCTCAAACGGATGGACAATCAGAAAAAACCATCCAAACCCTGGAAGATATGTTGAGTGCATGTATTTTAGATCTTGGTGGTAATTGGGAAACACACCTACCTTTAGTGGAGTTTGCTTACAATAATAATTTTCAAGCCACTATAGGTATGGCCCCATATGAAGCTCTTTATGGTAGAAAGTACAGATCCCCTATCCATTGGGACGAGGTCGGGGAGAACAGAATTTTGGGTCCCGAAATCATTGAACGAACAGTTGAGGCAGTTGATAAAATTAGAGCAAGAATAAAGGCAGTACAAGACCGTCAGAAAAGTTATGCTGACAGTAGAAGAAAGGATTTAGAATTTCAAGTGGGCGACAAGGTTTTTCTAAAGGTAGCACCAATGAAGGGTGTATTGAGATTTGGAAAGAAAGGGAAGTTGAGACCACGGTTCATTGGACCTTTCAAGATTCTGGAAAGGATTGGTGTTTTGGCTTATCGACTTGCCTTACCACCTGAACTTGTAGCAGTGCATAATGTGTTCCATGTTTCGATGCTCAGAAAATATGTCCACCATCCCAATCACGTGGTAAGTTACCAAGCCTTGGAGGTACAAAAAGACCTGTCATATGAAGAAATCCCGACAATAATTTTGGACAGAAAAGTACATCAACTTAGGAATAGAGGAGTTCCACTAGTCAAAGCCCAATGGCAAAATCATGGACTTCATGAGTCAACCTGGGAGAAAGAAGAGGAGCTTAGAACCAAGTACCCAGAGCTCTTCGATTAACCAAGGTAAATTTTCGAGGACAAAAATATTTAAGGAGGGGAGATTGTAATGTCCCGAAATTTCATAAAATATAATTTAATTTTTTTATGCTATATTTTAATATTTTGAAAGTTTAGGGACTAATGTATATATAAGGTAATTTTAATTTTATTGGGCTTAAAATGTAGATTTTGACGGGACGATAATAAGTATACGGATATTGGGCTTATTGGATAGATCGTAATTAAAGACGTATTTTAGGCTCGAGAAAAAGTTAATTTGGATTAGCGGAGCCTAAGTTATCGACGTTGGAATATATAACCTTAAATTATTATTTTATTATTATTGATTTATGGATTTGAATTGTTATTCACGTAAGTGAGAGAGAGAGAGAGAAGTTATTCCACTTTTGTTTTATCTTTTTATATATTTATTTATTCTACTTTATCTTACCTTAGTTAGACTTTGAATGAATGTGGGTAACATCACGTGTATGGGACGGTCTTAATTAGAGATTTCAAATTGACACATGTAGAAATCTTGTTTAGATTTGTTTCAGATTCTTTTTCCTCAACTTTATCCAATTAAGCATACGTCTCCCACTACGTAACAACTCTTGAGGGTAGGTTATTATTGACTAGGTATATAGATACATGTATAATAAAAGGAACACACAAAAATTATATGCAAGCACGGAAAACACAGCAGAGGTAGAAAAGAAAGAAGAACGAGTTTTTATTATTTTGTCCTCCAAAAATTAAATCAAAGTAAGATTACGAGGTGCAAGTGGTTCATCCCATTTAAATTATTTCTTCATGTTGATAAATGTTATACTTATGAAAGTTATGATGTGATATAATATGATTATGATATGTATGTTATCGTCATCCGGTACCAAAGATATAATATGATATAAGCTCTTACCGGTTCTAAAGATATGATATGATGGTATGATTATTTTGACACATGATTTAATACTTTTAATTGGGATTGCACAATTACTCGTACCCTACTGAGTATTCCTATGTACTCACCCTTTTCCCTACTCCTTATAGGTTAGATCGGGTCGTTGGTTGGCTGGCGGTGTGGTGCAGTCGTGGTGCCAAGATATTTGGGATAATAAATCAAATCCAGCATAACGTGATCAAAGATTTTATTTTTAGCTTTTGTTTTAATTTTATTATTATGTGGATCTGTGATTCAAGATTTGGGATACAGTTTTTCTTTTTGATATGTTTTTATGGTTTATTTTCATTATTTTATATTGGTGGAACCAAAACTTTATTCACATTCAATTATTCAGAATAACACATAATAGAGTATGGTTGATCTTATCACATGAATTGAGAATTTTGGGTGTACTGTACGTCAAGTTGTTTCTTTTCAAGATGGGTAATTGATTGAGGTCATGCATGTGTAATTAATGAGACCCAAATTGATGGTATTAATTGGGTGAAAGTGACGTCACGTTTCTACTCACTGCATAAGTATAAATAGGATGTTAAAAAAAATAATAAAATAAAATAAAATAATGAGTGAATAGTAGTTACTGTTCACGATGAACAGCGACGTCATACGTGAACAGTACTGTTCACATAAACAGAAATTAAAAAAAAAGAATAAAAATTGTAATTGGGTGTAAATTTTGCCATTAGTGAAAAGTCTTTGACATGTTTTATCAATTAGCGTATCAATCATTTTGTCGAGACTAGATTATTAATTATTATTGTAAAGATACTGATTACCGGTTAATCAATTCAATTTATTATAAATAAATGAGTTGATCTCTATATTACTTAGGTTATGATTAGTGAGACGTCAAATTTGTTTAGGCGTAAATTTTAAATATTTAGACATCTTTTATTTACTTTCTTTATAATTAATTGTGTCATTTTATCAATTATTTAGTGCATGGTAGTTTTCATGTACCGCATGGGTACCTAGAGTAATTTAGTTCTAAGGTTGAATTTCGTACAATCTGGGTATTGCATGTAAATTATACTTTGATAACTGTATCTTAAATCCATTTATTTTTAAAAGTATCTTTTGGTAATGACTTAACCTTTTAAATTTCAAAAGATTTGGGTCGTTATAGAATTCCTATAGGTTGGTTGATCGGTTGATTTGCCTGAGGCCTGATGTTTGGTCCTTGGTTGGCAACAATGGTTCTATGATTTGGGTCATTATTACCATTAGCCTGAATATTTATTCCATCATTAACACGTGGGGTATTCTGTCCATTATTTAGGACATTGTCTCTTACATTTAGGTTACCTCCTGAGTTAGATGTACCATTACCACTATTCTGATTTGGCATTACACTATCCCCTGGTTTGAACTAGACGGACCAAAAGGTGGTTCTATCCCTTGATTTGGACTTAGGACTGGAGAATTATGTCTTACAATTGTCCTAGCTTGAAAGTGACTTACAATAGGCACAACTGGCTGATAAATTTGGCCTACTAACTTATTCATTATTTCATTTAATATATTCAGTTGTTTGGCCATGTTGTCATAATGTGCATTTCCATTCTAGGTAAATCTTTCCATATTATGAACATTTCGTAGATTTACCTGTTCAACGACATCCTGTGTGAGTTCTCCAAGCAATGCACGCATGGTTCGAGGACTCAACTCTGTCATTAGTTTGTAATGACTGTGACTGCTCTGACTCTGTCCCTCTGTTCATGGAGAGTTTTGCTGCTCTTCATATCGCTCGATCACAGACTGGACTCCTTCCTGACTTGCTGCTTCCTTATCAGATTTGTGAGGCATATTGTTTCACTTTTTGTATCCTCAATACCAAACACCAATGTCCCACTGGACATGCCAAATTGTTTCGCGCGGGTAGTCGCTAACAATTAAAAAATGGATCAGGCGATTGTGTAAGGAACAAACCTCTTGAGACAAAGTCCCAAAAATGGGTGTTTTATTGACGATGATTTACAATTGGAAATAAACATAATGCCTCCAAGGGGCGCAAGCAGACAAGTACTAAAAGAAGTGTTTAAATTTAAGTTAAGAAATTAAAATTACATATTCTCTATTTGAGAGTGTTTAATTCCCTTTTTCTCTATGTCTTCTCTTCCTTTTTATATTCTCTTGATGATTTCTTCGTGACAAACCACTTGAAAACTGCTTGATTGCTTTATAACTACCCACTTTCTTTATGGTGGCTAACTTGTCGTGGAACTGCCGTCTCTAACTGCTGCCATTACTCTTTGTCGTTCAACCGCCTTCAATTGGGCTCCTTGAATCGTGGACTGTGATAAGATTACTCAATAACTGCTGTTTTCGATAACCATAATATTTTATGTTTGCTAAAATCCTGGACGATTCGAAGATTTGGACGAGAACAGGGTCATCGCTCTGGACGACCGTAAGGCACTCCATTCGCTTAGATTCTGGGCATTTTGTAAGCTTGGGCGATGATGTTACTGTGTTCGTGGGCTTTCATTGCATTCATCAATAATCTTATTTGGATCTTTATCCTGGACTCCCCAATTGGGCTTTACTCTTTGGGCTATTTGATTTGGACTGCACTTTTAGTGTGTCAACAATAACTAATACAATAAAGCAATTCTCTTTCATAAAAACTCCCTTAAACAAGTATGGAATTTTTTTCTTCTACCCAGTAGTTCAAAATATATACAAATATATCTATTTATAGAAACAAAAACTAAAAAGTGCTCAAAATGATCAAGTAACTTTCTTTAACCTCCTTTAATAAAAGTATTCAAAATGATTAAATAACTTCCACCTCCTTTAGTAGAAGAATAGTTCAAAATAATTAACTTTTACCTCCTTTAATAGAAGAAGAGTTCGAAATAATTAAGTAACTTTTTCAATAACTCTCGGCCAATGACGAGCTTTTCTTTAACCATGTAAAATTCTTCTGTCCAATAAAAAAACTTTGCTTAACCAAGTTGCATTTTAATTAAATCATATATTCATCTTCATAAAGCTTCACGATAATTTTGGGATGTTTTCTTATTTCGAGAATTTCCTTGGTCAAGTTTACACTACTTTCAACACGTTGTTCCTTTTAATATGAAAGACCAATCTTCGACTTCCTAGCTCCATAAGGTTGTATTGAAGATCTTGAGTGCACTAGGAATCCATCGTTATTTCTAGGATTTATATAAGATTATGTCACATGCCATTTGTTCTACTGGTATCAAATGATTTCGACATGCTACGTAACTTGAACTTGTTAATTGTTTATTGACAACTTGAGGAAGATTACTGACGATGTTTATTTGCACCCAGGTGGAAACATCCTCACATCAGATTTGTTCTTCCACACCTACAAGTTTCATGAAGGCGGGATGATTTTGATAATGGTTGGATGCCAACATGATTAACCAGACTATCCCTGAACCCCTTGTAGCTTGATTCAAACAATTTTGGTCACATAGACACACCTTAGTTAATGAAATCAGTAAAATGGAGTGTGACCTTATAGTGGGTGAACATTTTTTCTTCAACAAACTACTGAAGTTGGTGAGGTCATGTTCCTCATCGCGTAGTCGGTGAAGCCCTATTCTTCACCGAATGCAAGAGTTGGTGAAGAACAAGACTTCACCATTGCAAGGTCACATTGTATTTCGGTGAAGATCTTTAAAGTGAAGAATATCACACTATATCTCTAGCTCACAATCAAAATCACACTATCGCACTGTCTAAGTCACAGTTCAAAAACAATCCCATTTTTAAATCAAGAATAATTGACAATCACAAATTGAATTGCATAGGACTAAACAAAAAATGATGAGGCATTGTGAGTTACGTCCTTCGAACTAGAATTGCGACCTGATCTGGGGCTTTTGCATTTTTGATTGAGATTTTTGTGGGGAAGTAGATTGTCTTCTTTTATAAGTAAATCTTTTGACGGCATCTTCCTCCTTCGAATGCGATTCACTCTCAACACTCCTTGTTACCACCATCCTAGATTTGATGTACCTTATTAAGTAGTTACTACCTAACACGATCCATCCCGAATCACCCTAATGAACCCAAAACGTGGTGTGTGCCAACAATAGATGCTAACAAATGTCAAATCCATCACCAATGCTCACTATGAGTTACTACAAGATATGCAATAAAATCAAATGTTTATACAAACATAGTGCAATGTGCCCAAAATTTTACTTCGTGGTTTAATCAAACTGACTCGCATCCTTCAACATGTCGTGTGGCTCTAACTCTGAAATCACTAGACTTCTCAAGCTACCAAGGACCAATACTACCTGTAAAAATAATTTTAGAAAAATATGAGCTGATAGCTCAGTGAGTAGAAGAGTTCAAAAATAATTATACTTTCTCCTTTAAACATTTTTATCAAACGTCAAGTTCATATCATTAAATTCTTCACATGATAGTCTCATACAATTATAGACAAAAAGTGAGACATTCTCATAACACTGTAAATATCATCTCTTAATCACGGTATAGTTATCAGCTGATATCTATACTATCATCTCATCTCATCACATCACATGTGATCCACAAAAAATGTACCTTTTGACTAAAATCTGTAATCCACCCCTCGAACTAAGCACTTTCGCCACAGGCCTTTCGCCCCCTCCGTGAACGTAAGCGAGTATCATGACCTCTGGTAATCAATTTTAGAACACGGCTAAGGCCCCTCAGTGAGCTATATGTACACGATCACGACCCCTTCATCCCCAGTCAACTCCTCAGTGTAGTATAGAACACGACCAATGCCCCTCAATGAATTAGAAAAAATATATAATCACGGGTACTTTTCTGGCCGATTTCAAAATCACATCTCATATTCCAATTCACAATGTACCGTATACAATCTTTGAAATCCCACATGTATTATAATAAAAGATATTTCCATAATAACCATATAATTCGAACACATAATTGCACATACTTTGACGATATACTTAATTCATAAATACTTTAAAAATATTATATTTTTTCACTCACAAATCCATGGATAGAAATCTGGCTAAATTCACGAGCCATTCCAAGTTTTCACGTCACTGTCTGAAATAACGATATAATTACTCAAATTAAAACTTGACAATTAAATTAATACAATTCCACCACTTAATTCCTCAACTTTTATATTTACTCTTATATCTCCAATTCTCCAACTTTTATTCTCTTTATTGATTCATCAACTAAACACCATGCATTATCAAATCCATTAAATCACTTGCACTGCCTTAAAATCAATACCTTATACATATACAACCCATAGACATCACTTATTCCAATATATAAAATTCAACACGTCATATAGCTCCATTCAAACCTTTAAAAATCCGAAAATAAGAGCTTTGACAAAAACAACACTAAAATCCCATATTAATGAAATCAGGCACCAATTTCTTTATTGAAATCTGGCAGTAAAACCTTTGATAGAATTAGCACTATTCTGGGCAGAATTACAAAAACAGCACCTGCGTAGGATTTGTCCAAAAATTACTTATAATTATCACTTAAAAATGGAGAAATCAACCCTAATTCCTAAATTTAAGTGTTTAACATCATATAATCAGAAAAAAATTCAAATAATATGTTTCTATCTTACAAACCCATTTCAAAATTCATCTTTCCTCAACTTCAATACTCAAATAACATTTCTTTGCTATATTTCTATTTATAACCTCAAATACATATCTATAACAACTAATTATTGCTGAACTTCGAATTAAAGTAAATTTTCCATAAACCCCAAAATTTTCAAGTAACATAAACTTCAATTACCTCTTGAAAATAAGAAGAATTAAGGAATAAAACCTCAATCTTTAAAAGCCAACACCCATTTCTTCTTCTTCTTCTCCTTCCTTCCTTTTTCTCGTTCATTTTTTTCCCCTATTTTGTTCTCTACTTCTCTAGTCGGTTTCGCCCCCAACAATGAGAGAATATTGGATTTGTTTAAAGTTTAAATGGATAAGTATGGTAGAATTGCAAATCAAGTCCTCACTCTTCATGTAATATACCATTTACTGCTTTAATTACAGTAAATAGAAACTACATCCCTAAAGTTCTTGCAATTACAATTTAAGCCCCAAGAAAATCATTTGTTCAACTTAAGTCCTTATTGACTTTGACCAATTACTTCCCTTGACTTTGACAAAAAATGGGTGGGGTGTAACATCAATGATATTGAAACTTAAAAAAAACATGACTTCTCTAAATTTTCTCTTCTAAAATAAAAGTTAAAATTGATAAGTGTAGTTTCTACATTTATTCGAGATCCTAAAAGATGATATTTTATTATTTTTTGGATAAAATATTACCTAACTTGTGCTATATTATATTTTATAGGTAAAAAATCGACGTTTGATGAAGAATTGGAAAAAAGAATGAAAAAAGGCGAAATCCAAAGGTTGGGAACTAAATTTCAAACACTTCATAGATGAGAGGGCGGTGGAATGAAGATTGAGGATGCCAAGGATTCAACTGGATACAATTAGAAGATAAAGGAACAAGATTACAAGAGAAAATGGCTGAAATGAAGCAAATCCAAAGGTTAGGGGCTAAAGTGTAAATACTCAAAAGTTGTATTGAACCTCATGATGAAGACTCGAGAGTGTTGGAGGTCAATTGGGTGAGAAAAGAAGCCAAAGGGATGAAATAAAGTTAAAGTATTATCAAAAATCAATTTCTAGCTAAAGAAGTTATGCTAAGAATTTTTAGCCTCAACTCAAGGCCCATTTTACGGATGGCAAACGTTCGAATTGGAAATATTGTATCGTTCCAAGAATAGTAACTCTTTAAGTTAGATTTTTAATGCACTTTGAATCACTTCAATCAAATATGGGAGGAGAAAGATATGATCAAAGTACTGAAAGCTGTTCGACGGAAAAAAAGTATATCTATGCGGTCGCATAGTGTTAATTCAATGCGATCGCAATCATGCCTTCAGTGCTTCTGGGACCGTATGATTTCTTCTATGCGACTACTTCCATTTGTACTAGGTTATTGTTTAGTATTTTTCCGATGCAAGATTTTATATTCTTTTCAATTGAAACTCTACTTTGTCAACAATCTTTTGAGCATCCTTTAAATACCATAATCCGTCCAAAACGAGGGAGACCTAATTTTTATCGTTTAAAACCTCCATTCGACCAAAATTTTATCATATTCTACATATTTTAGAGGCAAAGAACAAGTCTATACATCAATCCAATGTGAATCATACAAGGATTTTGAAAATTCATAGACCCATGGGTGGATCGAGGGGTCCCACAGGATCACTTGACCCCCTAGTTTTTTGGGGTTTTTTATTATTTTATTTTTATTAAAATTTAATAAAAATAGAGACAACTCACAAATCACAGGAAGCCTTTGTCTCTCGTTCCCATCGCAACGCCTTTGTCCCTCTCTCTCCAGTCTTTTCTGACTCTGGTCCTCCCATTCCCACAGTAAGCTGACGAAGGACCAACGGTGGCCAACATTCAGCTTATACGATATAGGTGCACCATTTTCTTTTCGATTCCCACTCCACTAAGTCATGGCACTAGCACTAGTTGCACTACCGTCTTTCGTCTTTGTCTAATCCTAAGATTCCAAACGCCTCTGCTTTCTCTTTCTCTCCCTCTCCAATTTACTCCTACTCGCATGGTAAGCCGGCGATGGACCAATGGTGGCCACCATTTGGTCCATTTCAGAGTGTACGCGATAATGACGATGCACCATTTTCTTTCCCACTCCACTGTCTTTTGTCAGAACTCTCATTTGATTTTAGTTAATTTCTTCCAATTCCATTTTAGTGATGTGTTTCCCCTAATTTAGTGATTTTAATTCTGTTTGTAATTGTTTGCTAAAAGTACAAGCCGCAAGTTCACGGGTCACGTTTAAATAATAGAGTGGACCTTTTAAATTTAGGTTGTCGATCTCTCGAGGAATGTTGACTTTTTATTACACAAGTTTAATTAATTTAATTCTAACAATAAAAAGAAACATACACACAATTAAAATTATAATTTGAAACAAGGAAATTAACTAAAAATTTACGAAATTGGAAAACATAAACATTTGGAAATTTTGGAGGAAAACGTGGTCGAGATTCATCGTTTCGTTTAACTGTCACCTATTTAATTTCTCCACAAGTCAATTGACAAATTACTCACTTACGATGTTATACAAGATATTTCAATTCTAGTTAATTACCTCTTTCGAGCGAAATTAACCCTAACTGATTGATTTAACCTACTATATCTCTATGTCGATTAAAACCAAACAACCGCATTAACTCTTTGTGAAAATAGCTCATTGGGTCACCTAGGGTTAGATGTATATATTTATCCCCTATACAAACCTAGGGTTTCTACTGTTTGATCTAAAATACACAATTTTCTTTCGAATGATGTACAAATCACTAAACATAATCATTCACTGGTCACATAAATGAAAATGCAATAATAACAATAATAAAAACACATGAAAATAAATAATTTAACATTGAAGAGCAAATATTAAAATAAATTAAAAGTTAGGTTTAGTTACTATCATAAATCCCAACACAAATATTTAGCCTATATTAAATATATGATAAAAGGGAGGATGTTTTATACAATACATTGCCAATAGAAGATAACAGTGAAGAAAATACAAGATTCAAGATACAACCATTTTCGTTGGCTTTTTGAAGATGTTAAATGCTTGAACTTGATTTCCTTAAAATCTCTCTACCTCCTTGAATGTATATTCTCCTCGTGCTTTTGATTTCACTTCCAAAATGCCAAGAAAAATCGAAAGAAGAAGAAGAAGAAAGAAAGCAAAAAAAAGAAAGAAAGAAAAGTAAAAGAAAAATGAAAGAGAAAGAAGACCCAGCCCAAGAAGCCTGGAATTGACCAGCAAAACCATATTTAAATGGCCAAAAATCGTCTAAGGTGAAATTACGGAAGAAATCCCGAAATTTACAAGAAATAGGCACAATTCGCCCAACCGGAAGGTGGCGCACAGTTAGGGATGGCAATCGAGCTCGCTAGCTTGGGCCGCCAGTGACTCGGCTCGAGGCTCGGTAGACCCGAGCCCCATTTTGGGGACACGGGCTTTTCCCGAGCTCGCCCGTGAGCTCGCGAGCTTTTTAAAAAACAATAATAAATAAATAAATAAAATTTGAGGCTTAAAAGGCTGCAGCAGAAAAAAAAAGAGAGAAAACGAACCTGCCTGGCTCGGCCCGAAAAAAGCCCGAGCCGAAACTTTAGGCTCGCGAGCCGGCTCGGCCCGGCTCATTTACATCCCTACGCACGACGTGAGACTATTTTGGTCTCAATAAATCACCAACGGCTTTCCGGGCGCGCACCATCGCGCGTGGGTTTTCTTCATTTCTTTTTCCAACTTAGTCCTTCATTTAATTGCACACAAGGCCCCTCAAATTTGATCATGTACAATCTGGTCATCAAAATTTGACTTTTCTTTCAATCACCCCCTCTAGAAATTGCAACCTTAGGTCCTCAAATTTTGGCACTTGTGCACTTTGGTCCCCAATTTCACATTTTTGTGCGCTTTTGGTCATTTTTCACTCCCATTTGCCTTGTTCTCTTTCCTTGGATGATTTTTAGCCTACAAAAGTAAATTTTACCTAATTGTGAGTAGAATTTCATTTATTTTATCAATTATAAGCATATTTAGGTATTAAATGTGTGCAAAAACACATTTCTCAAATACCCCCAAACTTGAACTCTTGCTCATCCCGAGCAAGATCATCTACAACACAGTCAAGCATAAGTGATAATGATTAACACAT